AGAGACTTCGCTTGGGGCGATGGGCCACGATGAGCGTGCGAGGAGGGATGTTTGGTTGAGTTGTAACCTGTACGGTCTTGTGAACCAATGTCACCCCAATAAATCCAAATTTAGAAAGGGAAACGATGGATTTGATCTTGAATCATACTGTTTATTTCCTTCCAAAAATATGGAAATAGTCTGCATGATTTTTCTTCTGAGAGATGTCAAATTTTAACAGTAATAATTGTTTTATGTTTTTCCTTCCAGGAAGGAGGTTTGGTTCTTGACCCATTAAGGTTAAATGAGGAGGAGAGGCCCCCCCTGGGCTGTCCCGATGCGTTGGAGAATGGTGGCTCCGAAAGCTGCCCGGGGGAACCTGGGCTCGGGCAGGCGGGACCTGAGGCTGCAGCTCTGCGGGGCCGTTTGCACGCGCTCCAGACAGTCTTGCGGAGGGAGAGGCGGTGAGTAGGACGGTCCTCGGGCGACCCCGGCCCCACCCCGGCCTCACTTTCAAACTTCTCAAATGTCAAGTCCAGCAGGCTGCCCATTTGATAATGGATTTTACCCGCGGCGGGTGATTATGTTCTAATCTTTAAAAATGTGTTTGCTATACTATAGTCATTTAAAAAATTTTGAAGAACCAGTTATAATTTATTAGTTTTCACTCTTTCATCACAACGTTGTTCTCATGAGGTATGTGGCTGAAACAGTGCATGGAGTCAATCGAATGAAACTGCACTAATACTGGTAGCAGACAAGTCACGGTTCTGTGAGGCTGTGACCGTTCTTGGTGCAGAGGGAAGAGCACTAGTCCTGAGATTCAATGACCCGGGGACTCATCTTGGTCCTGACATATTTCGCTCTATTATATTTGCTCGGCAAACAGATGCTATTTTGTTCTTGGTAAAACTAAGGCTAACGATGCTGATGTTCCAGTTTTCTATTGTTTAGTAACAGAACTTCTCAAACAAGGGCAATTGAAACAACAGCCACTCTGGGTCTGTTCAGGGATCTGGAGCCTTCTTTCCTGGGTGTGGCAGCTCAAAGGCGGGGGACTGATGTCATCGGATGCCACACTCACTCTGAATGGGGTGTGGATCGTAGTGTCACCTCGGGCCTCAGTGGTAACACCTGCATGTGGCCCACCCTACTGTCCCTACAGCTTCCGGGCTTCCTCACGACGTGGGGCTAGGTTTCCAGGGAACATCTAAAAGGCGCCGAGAGAACTATACGGTGTGTTAGTGACCTTGCCTCTGAAGTCACTTAGCATCGAAATAAGCCAGGCAGCGAAAGACAAATATCACATGATCTCGCTTATACGTGGAATCTAAAGAACTTAATAAACTGATGAACAGAATAGACTCAATGACATGGAAGCATAGATGAGACCGATGAATGTCACAGGGATGGAGGAGGGTGGGTGGGTGGAGGGGGAGAGANGGAGGAGGGCATGTGGGTGGAGGGGGAGAGAGTAACAAAAGAATTTATATGCATATATGCACAACCCAAGGACACGGACAATGGTGGGGAGAGGGACTGGGGAGGGGGAAGGAACGGGGTGGAACGGGTCATTGGGGAGAAAAAGGGACATCTGTAATATTTCAAACAATAATAAAATTAAAAATAAATAAATAAATAAATAAATAAATAAATAAATAAATAAATAAAAATTAAAAAAATAAAGTCACTTAGCATCACTTCTGTCATACCTACTGGGAAGACAGTCCCGCAGGCTGAAGAGTTCAGGTGAGAGGGGGCGCCCTCGACGGGAGGAAGGTCAAAGTCAAATTACAATAAGAGCACCTAGATGCGAGCACAGTGGCTGCCACCCTCGGAAAGTGCAACCAGCCACTGCCTGTCTCGCTGCTTCTTACACGGGTCACAAATAGTGCCTGGGAAAGGGCCGCTGATACGAATTACTCTGGGTGCTTCTGTTGTTCCTATTTGAGGGAATACATATGAAGCCCTTTAAATTGTGGTCCCCAACTATGATAGAGTGATTTCAGTTTCCATGGGTTAAATGGATTGAAATAGGGATAAATATATGCACAAACCTTTCACAAATACTATATATTTTATCCTCCATTCCTTTTCTGTCTACTAGAAGTTTCTTCTTAGTCCCTCTGACACTTATTCATTCTACTAGCTTCTTTAGATTCCTGGTCTCTACCTCACGACACGAATGGATTGTGATAATACAAGCATCTGTGTATAGAATAAATACTCACTATTCTAACACCAACTATGCATCTGTAACAGAGGCAATCAACACGAGTGGAAAAGGGGGTAAAACTGGAGTAATTTTTAGGCCTGTACCCATATTAACAATTTTATCTGGAACTGTAGGTCTCGGTCAAGGTCTACACTCTGTTTTATTTCTCGAAGGATCTAACTTTTCGGCGGCTTTAGGCCTCTCTCAAACCCACACGTTACTTCACTGACATAACCGGAGCAACCTGAAACTGCACGCCCTAGAGCTAAACTCCCCAAGGGGCAGTTTCCACGACACGCGTGTGTGTCTTTACTCCCTCGCTCACACACAAGTACACGTCCATACATATTTGGCTTCCTTGGAATAAATGAACAGCCTCTCTGCAGGTAAATTCTCCAGTTCTCGCACAGGACCGGGGAAGGGGCCCTGTCTTCCCGCGGCCCTCTTTCCAGAGCCGTCCCACGGAGGCTGTGCGTGAATCATCACCACGTGCGGTCCACGGGAGGCCCTCGCAAAGCCTGTTTCTGCCACGGGAATGTTTCCCAAGGATACAGCATATATTGCTGCCATAAATCTGCCTGGTCTTTCAAATTCCTCCTCCAGCGGGGGCTGGCGTTGGGGGGATGTGAACATGGACTCGTCTGTGTTCCCAGCTGGTGGGAAAATGCTCGGCCGGGAGCACGGAGTCAGTGGGGGACCCGAGGGCCCATTCCCACCGATATCGCCGCGGAGCTCGTCGCACAGCTCAGCTTTATTACATTATTGCACTCGCAGCTCGGTTCCGTTTTCTGTGTAATTATCTGAGAATTTGCCAAAAGCCTGCGCTTTCGGTGTTGAATGAAGAAAATCACCGCCAAGACCCGTCCCAGGAGCTTTCCCCTGTGTCTTCTACCAGGAACTTGACAGCCTCGGGTCTTACGCCTAAGCCTTCAGTTCGCTGGAGTTCCGTTTTGTGTGCTTTGGCCATTTTCACTCCCCAGTATCTATTTGGTGTTTCGGCGGCTGTCCGCCCAACGAGACAGGGTCCGTTTTTCCGCACAGGCCACAAAACATGCTAGTAAGTGTCCCCCTCGGCCTCCGCTCCCAGCAGGGTGCAGACCTTGGGCCTGGGAGCAGGTCAGACGTAGCCACCTGATCGTCACAGAAGCTAGTGCCCCGAGGACCAGGGCACCCCGAGGCCCTCCTGGTGGGAGGAAGGCAGGGTGGTGGCTGAGCCTCATTGCCCAGGAGTAGTGGCCTCCGGTCCCCATGGACACCGCCCTGGGTGCCCAGCGTTGGCATCGAAGCCCTGCTGTGCTCTGTACCCTGCTGGGGGCCTCCGTGGGTGCTGACGGGGAGGTTTCAACGGCTTTCTGTTTGTTACTTCTGGCTTCCTGGGCTCCCCATTTCCTTCTCTGGCTCCCCAGAGAATCTTTGAACTATTAATACCCCCGTCCTGCTTAAACTGGCTAATATGAATATATGTGTTCATCAGACACTTAATCGATACCAGTTCCGGGCATGAGAGTGGACTTCGTTTGTGGAGGCCTCAGCTTTGGCCTTGGTCTCTGGTCCTCCCGGCTGTCACCAAGCTTAACAATACTCTTTAAATCTCTTTTCTAATTAAAGGAGCTCTATATGGCTTTGGCTATTGGCTGAAATGTGTTGAAAATGAAAGATGCTGAAAGGTGTAACTATAAATAGTTGGGAATGCAATCAGAAAATGGGAAATGTGTAGATCATTGAAAGTGTATTTATAAAAATTTTTATTACTCATTGTTTAATACTTAGCTTAAATTTGGTGCTAATAGAAGAAATGGATATCTAAATGTCATTGCAAGTTAATTACTTCTGTCTGGTACAAACATTTGACATGAACAGGCCTTTAAGAAAATACCAATTGAATATTTTACAATGAATTTTCACGCTGTTTATAAATGGTTAATATTTATTCCCAGATATTAATGTTTCAGGAATTTTTATCCCTGAGAAATATTTTATTTAATCTTCCCATTTAGATGTCTGAATTTTATGCCTAATTATTATGGCATCGTGATAGTTTTACAATGTACCAAAAGATTGCATAGAAATATAATCATGCTTTTCATAAAAGTTGTTTTGGTTCACTCTTTAACTTTTATATTCTGCAAATTTTATGTAATTTAGCAATCTGATTTTTTAAAGTTTATATCATCATATTAAATACTATATTTTTGCTGAGTTTATCTTAATTTAGTTTTTTAAAGAATTTGTCCATAAAATATGCAGAATTTTTAGTGTAAAATTATGGGTTTTTTTCTTTGCCTCCTTGTAGTTCAAATAGTATGATAGTTTAAGTTTAACTGTACAAGTAATCAGTTATGAAAATCTTTCTAAAATATAGAATACATTGATTTGGCCAGAACGTGAAGGATTTAAAAAGCTCCCTCTGCTGAGGAAATTTAAGTGTGCAGTGTCCTTGACGCTTGCTTGCAGAAAGAGTCATAAGCCTTTTCATGAGGCCATACTAAAAATATTCAAGAATCACGTCACCATTAATTTTTATGAATTACCTGTCCTCTCACGTCTCTGACTAAATTTTACTTTTTCCATAATAAAAATACAAAATTTTCTTATTACTACTTACTTCATTTGATATATACTGAGGAATAAATGTACTATATTTAAGTATTACTAATTTGCCTTAAATAAGGAATACAAATAGTTATTCACTTTATATGCTTTGACAAAATTACCTTATTTTTATCTTACGAACTGACTTAGAATATGTATGCTAAGTCTAGGTACAATCTAGATATAGTTATATGTTTAGAATGTGTCTATATTTATATGGAGCTAAGATTTAAAGTTCAATAAATTGTTCAAAACGTTCTTCTTGAACTTCTTATAGCATCTTGGAAGGATAGATACTCCAGTAATTATGATGACCTTTTTGTGGATTGGCATTCATTGTACAGTTATAATAAACCATTTTTATGTTACTCTGAGCTCTTTTGGCTAACATTATAATTTGATTCATTAAAGTATAATGTTAAAAGCTGGCACTGATGTTTCAACATGTATGATTTTGAACTTGTATATTTAAAAATGTAGACTTTCCTCCAATTTTCAAGTCTAATTTTTAAATTATTCTATTTATGAGTAAAATAATTCTCAAAATTATTTTTAAGGAGAAAATTTATTAATGTATGCTTCAATGCACAAATGTAATTAATATTCTTTAATAAAATTGTTACTGTTCTATATGTACCTTTTCCTTTACAAAAATTTTTTTAATTCCTTGGAAAAAAACATTCCCATATGTTTTTTTCCCATATGTTCCAAAATTTTGTATTTTTATTATGGAAAAAACATTCCCATGTGGCTCCAGTAAATGAAAATACAGGAGAAAGCAGGCAGAAAGTCAATTATTTGGATACTGGCAAAGCTAAATGAAATATATTTAACCTACCATAAAGCTAATTGACAGAATAACCCATTAAACTGAGTTTTAGTCACTATAATTTTTGATAAATCAAAAAAGCATTTCTGTCATTACTACGATCATCTATAAACACAAAAAATTAGGGAAAGAGCACATCTGACCTTGAATGCCCCCTAAAGTGGTTTTTAAATCGTAAGCCTGTTGTGCTTTTCATTCTCTGCTTAGAACGCGCTCGTCTCTGGAAAAAGAAATTGAGCGGCTGGAGGCAGCTGTGTCTTCGTGGAAACAGAAGTACGAAGAACTGAGAGACTGGCCGGCCGCAGGCAGGACAGAGGTATGGGGACAGGGCCCTGAACCGCTGGCCCCGGGCGCCCAGGGTGCTGCCGAGGGGCCATCGCTCAGCTGCGTCCCTGCTGAGCCACCGCCTGGTCCTTTTAGGGTCAGATGCGCTGGCCCCAAGCTCTCGCTGTGCTCAGGGCCCCGGCTCCTTCCCCACAGGCACCACCCGCAGGGGCTGCAGGCTCCTGGTCTCGGGAACCGCCCGGCTGGTCCAAGGGCATGCGCTGCCCCGCGCGGCCGCTAGTGGGCGGTGCAGACCCGCTTCTTCCTAGACAAGGAATCCAACGCTTCGGCAGCAACGGTTTCTTTTTAAAAAACCTCTCGGTTTGGAGCTGGCTCACAGAGTGATACGTCTATTTTAAAACGTTTAATGTTCTTCTAGTCAAAGATGGTATTTTGGGTGTCGAGCGGGCAAACGTGCGTCTTGAATTGCTTACCAAAGCTTTATAGGTGAGTCAAAAAACCCAAGACCAATGTAGTATTTTACAGATAAATTGGGTTTATATTTTGATGCCCAGACAGAAATATGTATTAATGCATATGTGGTATTTTGACTAGGCAAAATTGGGACAGGGTTGTTGCAATAGTAAAAAAAAAAAAAAAACCCTCAAAGTTGCTCTGGAAATTTTGTTCAACTGTTTGCCCCTTTGAGTGGGGGTTTGAGATAGATGAGCTGGGAATCTGAGAAATGAGTGAAAGCGACGACGAATGAAAAAAGTTTTTATTGTAGATGATGAAGCCTTAATTTAAACACAGATGAAGGAAAACACTGTTTGAATTATTTACATGGGTGTTATTGTTAAAATACATATGTCCCTTTACACTTCCTAAAAATGAACCTGTGCTTTCCTTGGGGCCTTTTTAAAGAGGTGTGGTGTGCACATATATTTAAGTTATTTTTGTAAAATATTATAAATTCTTTTAAAAGTTAGAAACTGAATAAATAAAAAAACTTAGTCACAGCTTATTATTTATATACACTTTGTTTAACTGTTTCACAACAGGTAGTCACAGAACAAGATTTTTATGGTACATTTAGAAATGGCCTTTTAGCATAAATATAAATGTAAGATATTCAAACTTTCTGTGCAGTTGACTTGTCATAAAAGTGGTGTCATGATACATCCTTTGTATCATACTTCATACGAATGCTCCTTACTCTACTTTTTCAAAAACCCTGAAAACAACTTTGCTTTCACGGTAGCTCTTTGTCTCCTGTACAAAAAGTTTGAATACAGTGTGGTTCCCTTTTAGATGCTGAAACTGTTAGAAGCAAAAACACACCTGGCTAGGAACTGCTGGTGGGAAGACGGGTAATTGCCAGAGTTGGGGGGAAATGTGCTTAACAGACCAAGATTTTTAAAAATGTGTTTGAAAGTCTGGTGAGCTTCAGAGGGAAATCATTCTTAGGTCACCGACATTTACAGGAGAGCGAATATAAGAATTTAATTGTAAAATCAACTAAGTATTTAAAATGCAGCCCAGACAATGAGCGGCGAAGATGATTACATTGGAAATGATATTCCCACGCTGAATTTAACGCTCAGTCTGCTTTTCCCTGGCAAGCCCGTAAATGCTGAGTTGGGGTTAGATGGTGAGTTAGTTCCAAGCGTCTGAAATGAGCGTTTCTATGAAATCTCATCGTCTAGAAAATCAGATGTTCATGTGAGCGACAAGGATTACAAGTAATGTTTGTACCTTGCTTTGGGGATAAGTGACTGATTCTTCCCATAACGGAAGATTTGTCTGCTACCATACTGCAAACATTTAAAAACTCACATGGAGCCGGAAAATGAAATGTAACTTATTAATCTTCTCTGAAAATGTTGTGCTTTTACCTGGTATCTTTTAAAGGATTTTATTGAAATATCTTTTTATATGTGATAATAACATATAAAAGCCTTAACTCAAGCACCTCATGAACCTTTCTGATTTGGGGGGAAATAGAAGGCTAGAATCACAAGTTATACGTAGCTAAAACCCTACACGGACACCTCCACTTTAAAAAAATTACGTCATATGGGAGCTATTCTGCATGGGTCACGAAGGTCCTGGAAGATGCAGGATTTCTCTCCGCCTCCTCCCTCCCTCCTCCTGGTTCTCAGGCCCCCAGACTTGGACTGAGGGCCACCACCAGCTTCCCTCGTTCCCCAGCTTGCTGACGACAGGCCCACAGATCCTGTTCCTTTCAGTGAATGTCTATCTATCTACCTAATCTATCTAATCTATCTATCTATCATCTATCTATCTATCTATCTATCTATCTATCTATCTATCTATCTATCGTCTATCATCTGTCTATCTATCACCTATCTATCATCTATCATCTATATCTATCTATCTATATCATCTATCATCTATCTATCTGTCTATCATCTATCATCTATCTATCTATCTATCTATCTATCTATCTATCTATCTATCTGTCATCTATCTATCATCTATCTATCATCTATGACTCAAACCAGATCTTGTCACTGCAAGTCCTTGTTTTTTTCTCAACAATTTTTTCTTCCTTTGTCGGTTGTGTTATTGTCAGGGAAATAGCTATGTGCACTCCTAGTTAGTAACATCAACTACGGCCTGACATCTATACTTTATTTAACTTGTTTTTTATATCGATTAGGCGATTGCCTTAAAAGTGATTTTGTTACGTCTTATAGAAAAAAGGTTGTGCTAAAAGAAAGGTCCTTGATGTGGGGTGATTTCGGTTTTGGAAGTAAACCATGTGAGGGTAAAGAGGAGGAGGAGCACGATGCCTCCTCGGCAGATGCGGGTCTACAGAGAAGCTGATGTTTAAGGCCCAGGCCCTTCTCCATGGCCCCTGCCTGGACCTCAGCAGAAGTCCGAGGGGGATGTAAATATGACCCTATGCTTTGGTGTCGTTTGAAAGTAAGATACTTGAGACACACTTGTTTAAACCTCTGTCTTTTCCTTCCTTCCCGGCCCCCTTTTCTGTTGGCCACCGAGCAGCTGTGGGAATATTTTGGGTCTTGCCAAGTATACGTACAGTTTGTATACAGCGGAACATACTTATGGATTTATTATGTATACCTAGTCAAAGTTCTTTCCTCTCAGAAATATATTTGATAATGTGCCATACTTTCAAATAAAACCACATGAAAGATAATTTCTTAGAAAGCCCGTATTTGTGGGTTACAAACTTCAAAGAGCAACTATTCCAGAGAGCAAGTGATGGCGTGGGCTTGTTTACCCCTTTCATTCAAAGAAAGATAGCAACTATTCTGGAAGGAAGACTAGACCCTCTCTATAAAAATAATATTATAAAATCACTGTCATAGTAAAAGTTGATGCACCGTAAAAATCTAGAAAAAAATGTTAATTTTTAGTTATTTAGTAGTTAGTGCTATTAATTTATATCATTTTTTAGGATTTTGTGATATTTGATGGTATTTGACAGCTTTCTAAAATTAGTGAATTATTGTTTTCTCATTTTAAATAAATACTCACCTCTAGTCCTAATTTGCATGGTTCCTAAATTATAGAAAATTCAAGCTCCAGAAATCCTGAATTTACTCATGTTCCTCAGCTTCCCTTCGCTGGGCCTCAGAAATTTCCCCAGGTGGCCCTGCTCTGCGTGTCCCTGCCCAGTCCCCATCCACAGGTACAGCATCACTCACTTATTACAAGGGGTTGTTTGCTGTTTGCCTCCTCCCCTGGGAGTAATGACCTTGAGGACCGAGACCCCTGGGGGTCTCCTCCAATGGTCCAGGGTCTGACTTAGTGAGGAGGGGTCGCTAGATACTTGAGCATGGACTTAATGAAGGTGGTAATGAACGTCTTAGGGCAAGGGAAGGAGAGCTGGGGGAGGATTAGACTCTACTTTGGCCTATTTCCCATTGTTCTGCGTCGTCTTCCCCCCGCCCCCCGCCCAGTATAGAGATGGCTTTTGCTGGTTCTAAGATATTGCATTATTTACACAAAAAGGTGTAAAGTCCCAAAGAAGAAAAGTGGTTTTGTCAGCTATTTGGTTGTGGAAAAGATTTGCACAATGCAGGCTCCAATCTCCAAAGATTTCAAGAAGGCCATATGCTAGGGGAGAGCAGGGACTCAGTCACAAACTCTGTCACCAAACCACTGAAAAGTTATGTAAGATGGAGTGTTTCCAAAAATAACCTGTTTACACAAAAAGAAAACAGCATCATATGCATTTAATTAAACTTAAATCATAGGTTTAAGTGCCATAGAAGGAGTTTGGGAGCTGTGACATTCTCAAGTTCACTGTAAATCCCAAGCTCCATGTTAAGTGACAAAATACGGAGAGGAGTGAGTGAGTGAGCTTTTTTATTTTTCCTAACATAGGGGGACCAGTGAGACACATTAAGAGGCACAAGCTCATCTGGGCTCCGTATCGTTTAAGAATGCCCCTAACAGGAGCTCTCTGAGATTTAAAATTAAATTCGAAGGCATAATTGCTGTAATTCTTTTGATTAGAATAGTCTTTGCTCTTTTCATATATTTAACTTCTTCACTGAGGTTTATTTCACATACTGAACAATGAACCCACTGAAAGGGTACAGTTCAGTGGTTTTTAATACACGCACAGTTGTGCAACCATCACCAATATCAACTTTAGGACATTTCATCAGTCACCAAGGAAACCCCGGATCCATTAGCAGTCACTTCCCCTGTCCCTCCCACCCCACAGCTTGATGTAATCACTAACCTAATTGAACTATAGATTTGCCTATTCTGGACATTGCATATAAATGGAATTTTGTAAGTGGCTTCTTTCACTTTACATAGGTTTTTTTAAAAAAATATATCTTAATTGATTTCAGAGAGAGGAAGGGAGGGGGAGAGGGAGAGAGAGAAACATCAATGATGAGAGAGTCACTGATCGGCTGCCTCCTGCACGCCCCCGACTGGGGATCGAACCTGCAACCCGGGCATGTGCCCTGACAGGGGATCGAACCCCAATCGCCTGGATCCTAGGCCGATGCTCAACTACTGAGCCACAACCAGCCAGGCTTTACATAGGTTTTTGAATAACATTTTTATAATCTCCTATTCTATCAACTACTCCTGTCACTATTCAATAAAGAACATAAATTTATGCTGATTTTTTATGAAAACCTCATTTAGAAAAAAAGAACAGGTGTAATTTTCTCTTTGCCACAAGAAAACATGAGCCTCGAGCTGTTTTAGGCATGCCTGAAACAAGAGTAATATTTTCAAATATTACTTTCCTTAAATGAACACTTTGGCTTTGACAGAAGTGCAGGCCACCATCTCACGTTTAATAGAGAGGGAGTAAGTCAGAAAACAGAGAAAGGCATGTAAATTTCTGAGGATTTGCATGAAGGTAAGGTCTTCTTTCCTTAATACCAATGTTGGCAGTAATTTGTTACTTGGTGAAGTTAAATAACATATTTTAGCTCTAATCAAATATATTCCAACGTGATTTTTCTTAGTTTTACACTATAGTAATTATGTGCAGCTTCAGGCAATATTTAATTAAAGATTAAACTATGCTAATCCTTTTAAAACTCTGTTTACCTAAAAGTAAAAATCCAAAACACGTTCCTTGATGCCCTCAGGCTACCTAAGGCCTCCCTGTGATGTCCCCCAGCTCTTAGCCTCTCCAGGGCACACACAGGTACACCAGGACCTTCCCTGGCCCTTTGGCCCCTAAGTTCTGTCCAGTTCCCTCAAGATCCTGTTCACTGCTTCCCACGGGGCCACAAGCAAACTTAGCAAATTCATATTAATGTGCTATTTACACGCTCACGGTGCCATCTCAACTATTACTCTCAGTGCTTCCAATTCAGAACCGCTTCCCTCAAACTGGTCGAGTCTAGTTGCATTGAACCAGGATTAAAATGGCCAATAAAGAGAACAGTGTTGCTTTACAGTAGAGGCATTTGACTTAGAAATTTCCTATTATCATCCTCAAAATGTTTCCCATAGAAAGCATGTTTTCACAGGAACAGAGACCTGCACGCATACGCCGTTACACGTCTATTCTTAGGCCAAGAACCCGGGTTAATAGGAACGCGACATAAACGTAAAGAAGAAGCCTGTCCCCTCTGAGGGCAGAGTTCTTAGCCTCATAGCAGGTGCCCAGTAAATGACAGGGGCTCCAATGGAAGGGGGAAAGATAAAGTACGTATCAAACGGAGAGCAGCCTTCTAGGTCAACCTTCTACGAGGCTGAGAGAGGAAATAAAATCAAAATGGGAAGGGGGCGTAACTGTTTGTACTCACTTGGAACGTGATTTGGTGTGGCCTGTATTTGACTGTATTTTATATTTTCCAAGCATATGTTTCCTATGTGCCCACGAAGACAGATGGTGAGGGTCGTGCTTTAAGGAACTAAAATATCAAGAAACTAGTGGCCGGTCACTTAGGTTTTAGGATAAGCCCAGTTGTCACATAATTACTCTTTCAGGAGTTGTTCATCGAAGACGTTTAGTTCCCTCTGAACTTCACATTGAATTCAGTTTTGTTTTTTTTAACAGAGTAAGATGTTTCTCTGGAATATTATTAGAAATGAATCTGTATTTTAAATACTTAAGCAGCGGTAATGCTGTTAATTAGGTAACTTCTGTAAATTTATGAATTAGTGAAACTTTGCTCATACCTATGTTTAATCCTGGTTATAGGAAAAATTATTTTTAACAGTAATGGACCACATTTACTTTTATTTTTCAGTATTGATCTGTTCAAGTTCAAAACAGTTGTCTGGAATTATATGAGTCCTATAGCCGAGGGTTACTTTTCGGTGTATTTAACAAGGATTCAAGTACCTTAGACTAGAAAAGAATCCTCTTTAGTTCACATTTGAGTCTCTGACTTTAGGCTTTCTCTAATCACCACGCCAGCAAATTGCTTTACTACAGAAATCCCTACGACAGGTGATAAATCAAGACGACTCTTCTTCCAAATTATTTTATCAGCCCATGAGAGCATGTCTTACAACAGGTGGAGGGTGTCATTTGGAGGTAATCAAGGAGAGAAGGGAAATAGGCCAAAAGAGAAACGAAAAAGAAAAGTCATTTAAAGTATAACCCTTGACTTAAATATGAACAAGTAGGGCGCACACACACCCTTAAAGTAGCGTCTCTGCTTTCCCTCTGACAGAGGGTCCTGGGCACCTACAGCTACCGCCCGCGATGGCTTGGGGGCCCCGTGGCTCCCTGTGCCTCACACCCCCAACGCATTTCATTTCGGTTCATCCGCACACGAGGCCTCTGCGGGAAACGGTCTTAGTCCCGGCTAGTGGGCAGCCTCGGGAAGTCTAAGGGACGTGCCAAAGGCTTCACAACTCAACGGCAGCGTCAGAATGAAAACCCACACCCGGCGCCTGGCACCATCAGAATCAACTGACTAGTTCCAGTATCTGTTGGTCTGTTGTTTTGCATTTAATTTGTGTGTGTGTGTAGTTTTGGGAACACAACTCTCTGTGCTAGAATACTAAGCAAAAATATAAAAATCCATCAAATATAAAAATGTAAAAATCTTCTACATGATGTGGCTAAATAACGACACTATAAATGATGATAGAAGCGCTTCAGGTTTTCACATAAGAAAAGATATCTTACGCATGAATGTTATCCCGACAATTTAAAAGTCATCCAACATCCTTAAAAAGGCAGCGATCATTAGCATTACAAGAGCAGTTTCTCATCACTGCCTGGCAGGAAATTTGAAACTGAGCTTCCTGGGTAAGAATGTAAATAAATAAGACAATTATTATGGTTCAGACACTGTCGATTCATGCCCTGCAGACAGAGAAATAAAATGGGAAATGATGGGCGTCAGAGCGTCCAATGTCTTTGTTTGCCACGACTTGGTGACTGTTTCTAAGCAAGTCTCTGAACTGGGTCCGTCCTCAGTAATCTCTCAGAAGCTGGCAGGGTCCCGACAGGCAGGCTCCAAGCCTTTTGTTTGTTTGGTACCAGTGACTTTTGCAAGATTTTTCCACAATCTTGAACACTGGTTGGTATTTTTCTTCATGCCTCCTGGTCTTTAAATTTTCCATCCTTGCTCTACTTTCTCCCTTCTTCTGAGTCAAACCCTGGCCTTCACCAAGATGTCCCTTCATCTCCAGCCTGTATTTAATCCAAGGTTAGTAGAAACAACCGTCATTTGAAACGCCTCCTTAATTTTGACCACCCCTGAAGAGAGAGGGAAGGAGGTTCTGCTTTCTCCCTTGTTTTATTTTGGGGAGCTGGGGAGGTGGAGAACTGGGGAAAACACAAGTATAATAAGAAACGCAGGACATTTTCCTGGTTCTAGATAAGAGGAACCTAAAATTTTCCTTGCAAGTGATTTTGAAGTCTGGTCATAAAAATTATTGGAAACTAAATTTCAAATAATACTGAAGACTATACTTTGACCTTTATCAAATCTTTTGGGAAATTCTTTCCTCTGCCATAAATGTCTAATAATCCTTCCGTGAGAAGGTCAGGTGAATTGAAGATCCTCGCGGAATCGATCCATAGGCATTGACATTTGTTTTTGAATTTGGACAAATGTTCACACTGGACTTTGACTCACTGGGATATTTGAGCAATCGATCCTTTCAACCGCCGCACACTCAAGAAATATCCTTTCTCTTCTAGACCAGAAGACAGAAACCACAGAGGTGCAGCCCCACCCAAGGGCACCTCTGATGCTGTGGTAGAAACTCAAAACAACACATCTGTCGGGCATCTTAAAAATGTAACCTCACCAGCTGACTACAAACACTGGAACACCTGGGAATCATGGCACATTTATAGCACCCAGGGGAAAAGCTTGGTTTACCTGGGTGTTTAAATGGGCTCAGCCAGAGTATAAACAAAATTCTGCAGGCCCTGGGAATGATGGTGAGACACTGGGAGAGGTGGTGAGGAAGACCAAGCCGACTCATCCAGTGGTCCCTGGATGTGCTGGGACACAGCCCCATACATGGGCCATTGGTCTAGTGTGTCGGCTGCAAATTGGAGACAGTGTCCCACCTCTGTAGAGTGTCTCCCTCAAGTTGGGAAACACAGATGTCACTGAAATTCGAATTTTATATAATGTTAATGTCCAAGACAGTATTCTTCTTTCTATTTTTTCAACTATTAAAAAAGAAGTTCGCCATGGGCCAGATCTGGCTTTCTGGCCATGGCTTGTCAACCTCTATTCCCTGAAAATCAAATTGGCGACTCACTCACATGAGCTTGACTATATTTTATAGTACTCCAGTCACAGAATCTATACTATTTGATTGCACTTGAGTGTCTTTAATTGCAGTGCCCCAAAATTGAAAGGTATAGTAAATAAATGAATCAATTAATGAATGAGTGAATGAATACATGAGCCATGTCCATCCAATCAGAATCGCCCAAGCAGTGAGTGTGCGTGTGCCTTCCCAACGGACCAGCGTCCATCCGCTGAGCGGAGATCGTTGGCAAAATATCATCAGTGTTTCACTTGCCATGTTAATTTGACAGGTATGGCTCGTGTGGGTAGAGACAGGCAAGGGGACCAAGAGGAAAGATACTTTGCCTTGGACATGGACAGGTTTTTGGACATTTTTATTGTTCATAACTTTTCAGACAAATGGAGCTTTCCTTTGAAAATTTGTAGAAATGGACATGTCGTCCATGAACCTTTCTTAGTGGAAACTGGCCTCTGATCAACTGCAAGTGCTACACGCTGCTTCTTTGTTTTCCGTGTGCAGCTGGAGCGATTGCAGGCGGAGGGTGCGGCGGAGTGGGACCAGAGGGCCATGCTTGACACAGAGAAGCAAGGACTGGAGAGAGAAAACAGAAGGCTCCAGGGCCAGGGGAGAGAGACGGACGATCTCCTCAAGAGGAGAGAGGCGTTAAGTGCAAACCCCCAAGGCCCTGGTTTCAAGACGTCGCAGGATGAACTGCAGGAGAAAAGCAAGGTATGGAGCTCCCGGGGACAGGTGCTGGCTCCTGGGGACAGGTGCTTTCCCTCTGTCTCCTTCCCGGGCGGCCAGGTGGGAGCTGCCTTAATTTTTATTCACCTCCAACCTGAGTATTTCCTTTTGTGTGGATAGCTCGCTCTTTTTCCTATTGTGATGTAAAATAATGCTGTTCGTGCCTGTGCAACAGTGGGACAAATTTCATATGATGATGTCAGAACATGACGAATCTGAGAGCTTCAGGCTTTTCCGTAAGCAGCAAGAGCGAAAGCCGGGGTGGGTTTGGCGAATTTGGTTTCTTGCTATAGCTTCGTCTCAGTGTTTTCTAAGCTGTTGGTCTTATTTTCAATAAGTATATTTCTCCATGTGTTTGAGTCACTATACAATAAGCATTTCTCAGTAGCTGTGGTTCAGCACTCATCTGAGGAAACATTTAGATTTAGCTGAAATTTACTCTTCTCTGCTTGCTTTTTAGTTAGCCCCAGAAAAATTATTTTTGAGTCCATTAAATGTTTTGTGGTGCAAATAGTTTTTATAGGTTATGACATAAATGTTAAAACTAGAATTAAATCCAAAATTTGGCTTCAGAAAACTTAGGATTTTTGGAATTGTTTTATCCTAAAGCCAGTGCACGTTACTTCCATAGATGGGATTTTTTGAGAAGTAGTTTTTAGATTTTTAAAAATATTCTTTTAGTGGCAGTTGTGATTCATGTTTTAGTGTTAGTTTGCTGCAAAACATAGATCCTGTTTCTATTTGTTCCCTTAAAGTATCTACAGCATCTTAAGGCACAATTATATCTTTCACTCAATGCTTTTAACGGTGAGTAAAAAGTGAGTCTGATAAGTTCATGTTTTTGAGTCATATAAGTAGTTCATGCTCATATGAGCTCTTAAAAGCTAAATGGCCAGAAAAATTAAATTTCTTATCACTTTTCCTTATTCTTTGTGATTCTAGGAGTTTATTGCAAATGCAAACTAAAGTGCATTAGTGTTTTATGATGTGACAATGCAAATATCTAAAGTTAAATGTTATAGTAAGTGATCAGAATTTTGCAGTATGTGGACTCGTTAGCATCCATAGTTTTGTGTTTGGTTCTGACATATATGTATAGTAAATATATAGATAATTTTTTGCAGACTTCTACTTGTGAAAGCACAGAATTCTTTCAGCTATGGAACGAGTTTTGATCACCAAATATCTGTTTCCCTTTGACTGACTTGAGCAGAACAAGCATTGATTTACATTAGGCTCTGCGTCGGTCCGGGCTGCAGACGTGGCCATGGGAGGTTAGCGAGTCGCTTTCCCTGCCCAGCGTGTGCTCCGGGTCCGCGCAGGAAGATGCGGCCGTAAGGCGTTATCAGCAGTGCGTGGTGACCTACTGAGGGAAGGGTGGAGTGGGAGCACGAGTGGAGCAATTTATCCCATTTCAGTCGATGCCTTGCTAGTGATACCAAAACGTTATAACAATGAAGCGTGTCCGTTAGGAGCCTGTCTGGAGCTGGCATACATGCCACCGGCCTGGCCCATCAACAGGGTGCTCTGGGTTCAGACCCAAGCTCTTCGGGACCAGTGTAGTTCTTCGGCCTGGAACTGGATGGAACTTGGACTCTGGAAGATTCCAGAAGTTCTGAGAAAACCATTGGGTGGGCTCATCAAATAGAAGACTGTTCCTCAAGTGTATGTCTTTTTGATGGCAGAGAGGGAAGGGGTATGAGTGATTTTTACACTCTTCATTAAAAATTCAGACTCACCCCTTGAACTAAAAGAATGACTTAATTACGGAGTAGCCGCAGGTCAGAGTCCCCGCGCCACAGAGACACAGAGATCCCCACTGAAGAGCCAGACGTTAAGGTTCGGCTGTCCCCGACTGCCGAGTGACTCAAAGCTGCGGAGGGCAGGCCCCAGCCAGGGGACAGGGGAGACGCCACAGCACAAAGCCAAACGTAGCTCCCACGTTATTGCAGTGAAAGCTCGTCTCTCTGTCCATGAATTACATACGGAAGTATCATCGGGAGTAACACGTACACTAGAAGAACGCGTCTCTGTTTGCATATATTTTTAGTAAGACAGTGGGAATAGGGCCTGACATGTCTGAAAGACCATCGTAAGATATCTTACCACTTAATATTTATTTATATCTGATCGCATTTGATGAATGTTTGCGGCAGGCACAAATCCACGTAGAAACCTCCAAACCTTAGAAATCTCCACGTCAACATGCCAATTTTGTTAATTTCCTTAATTTTGAGACTCTCATTGTTCAATAGGATTTTTATAGATCCTTAGCTGTACAAGAGGGGAGGGCGTTCACGCAGTGTTGGTGGTTTTTTTTTTGCTTTTTTTTCGCTTTAGTGCGATAGAAGATACAATTTTAAAGAAAATGCCTTTCAATTCTATATTGCACTGTGAATTGAAAGACACAGATTCCCTTTTCCAAGTGAAAAGTTATTGGAAAAAGTTGTCAGTATTCTATGGGGGGAAAGCCCTGTGAACTAGTTGACGTGTCTCTCATGAAATGCTCTGGAAACTTGTTTTCTTAAATCATTCTGGCAGCCGACTCCCTTCATTCAGGTCACATAGGGGGTCATTTTCGGAAAGTTACTGCGACAGAGTGGTCACTGATGCATCTCAGGAAGATGATGAATTAATCTGAAAGTGGAAAGGCCACCACAGTTGGTTCCTAATGAATTTGCTTTGTGTCAGCCAATGACAAAACACTGAATTCCTAACTGGTACCGGCTGAGCAAGGCCTCTCCCATGCTTCTTATTAAATGTGCTTCACTTTTTGTTTACTAGCATGTAACCCATTTAATGAAAAAACCCACTTCAGTCCATCTTTAGCCTTAATCACTGTAAAGGAAGCCTAAGCGGAGCATTATTTCGGAAAGGAGGCGAAAGGACTTCGAGTTTCTCCCGCGGTGTGGGCGGTGCGGGTCTCGGGTGCCGCAGCGCCCATCTCATCGCTTACTTCACGCGTGCTTGTCACACGTAATTCACAAAGATCAGAAGAAGAATTTTGGGGCACGATTTTATAGGGGGTGCAAGTTATCTCACCGATTACAGGCATAAGAAAATTTATTTAAAGTCAGGCAGCGTCTACTTTTTTGTTTGTCTACTGATTAATTCAACAAATATTTTCTGAACCCTCTGCCAGTCAGAGTTGGGTTGTAGGTATTGGAAAATAGATAAATAACAGAAAGGTATGTAATATAAGGATTCCGATGGCCTGAAAGGGCTGGGGGCAGACGGTACATACGGGGCCTCACAGAAATGACTCCTGCTAGGTCACTACGGAACGGGCCTAACTAAAGAATGGGTCCCCGGCGGGCAGGTGTCAGGAGGCTACCGGGGCCGATGCTCCTGTTCCACCCACCGCCTCCACGACCACTCTTTCTTTGCTACAAGCTGGGGACAAGGGAGGCCCCCACAGAGCAGGGCTGCTGGCTCCATAACTCCCTGTTGCCTCTCCTCCCCCTGAAGCCAACTCCAAACCCAGGCCTTGCTTGAGTGCATCTCGTTTCCAGCATCTGAGTCTTACCTGGAGCTCTAGAGATTAAGGAAAATGAAGGTGTGTATCCTTCCAAGAGTTCTAGAAAAATAGAAGGAACCTGGGACAAATGTTGATAGACGACCTACTGTATGTTTCAGACACGCACAGTGTAGCTGGGGGACATTAGGTGGCAAGACACACGGTGGAACAGCTGCCCTCGCCAAGCCTGCAGTCACATAGAATCATCGACAAAGATTCCACGACGGCGGCTCTGGTAAATGTTGAAAATTAGTGGGCTCATGTCACTACTTTGTCCTGAGAAATGAAAATTCAGACTGAGATCAGAAAGATGAAAAGAAACAGGCACCTGGAAAAGAGTAATCTAAGAGCATCCAGGGCAAGTGAGGGCAGGGCTCACAGCTCCTTGTGAGGTTTCTATCGTTTTCAGGAAAGTGAGCTTCTTGAAAACCACGCACTTTCTTTTCTTTGTGGTCATTTTGAGTGTCGCAGGGGTCGGGGAGAGCAGTGGCTCTGGGGTACAGGTACTTGGAAGAAAGCTGAGGTTCCGAGACTGCAGTCGGCGTCTGCTCCCTCCTGCGTGCCTGGGTTGGTGACAGAATCGAGGAGCCAGGGGACACGCCTCAGCCAAAGTTCCTGTGCTGTGGACACGGTGGGGGAAGGCGGGGAAGGGGGCCCGGCACCTCCACTGACCTACCGGCTACCCCCCTTGGAGGATCTGGCGTTTGCACCTAGTCGGTGAGCTACAGGAATTGTCATGTTATGACCTTTCCAGTTGCTGTCTCCTAAGTTCCTATTGTTCCTCTCTGCAAATCTATTTAAACTGAGATTAGAGTGCCATTTTTGTTGTTTTAGGGACTTTATCCATCAATTTAGATTATTCTTGGTGTACGCTAATGATATGGCTTAATCGCTTTAATTATCAAGCCTCTGTCAAATTATTATTTTGGAAGTTTTCTGTTAGCGTCCTCCCCAAAGTCCTTTTGATTACTTACCTACCTAAGGCTGGCTACATTTTTCTCTGCATCTTTATCTCTTTTTATTCCAAAATGTCTACACTGTAATCAGCGTTTGCCTCACCATAGAAACACAGTTATTTTTATTGGGCCATAACCTGAAAATAAATCTCACCTTCAAGCAGGAAATGGACAGGGTGACACTATTTCTGTAAGACTATGTCCAATTGTTTTACTTGCCATGTGCACACTACAGAAATGCATATGTATACACATATTTTACATTTTTCCCTTTTTTTTACACACACAGCTATGTAGAGCTACATATACACAAGCTATCTATAGCAATAAACCCAAGATGATAAAGACAATTAGGAAGTTCCTAATCTTTATTAGAATAATGATCTGATCATCTGAGATGAGAAGATGTAAAATCTACACATCTCTATTTTATCATGACAAAACTTATAAAATTAAATACTTTGGTGATTCAACACACATTTTGACTTATCAAGCCTAGTGGGTGGTTGTCC